AGTCGACTGTGGTTCGAGTCCCGGAGCCAATGACTTAAAGCACACTGGGCATGTGTGCGTGTGTGCCCAAAATCCTGAGAGGAAAATGGAGGAGATGGGATTGTGGTGATGTGGGCATTCTTTCTGGGTGTGTGTGTGTGTGTGTATGTGTATGTGTGTTTCTTGTGCTTCTATTTCTTTTTATTTTTTATTTCTCTATCACTTCCTTCTTTCCAGTGAGTGCATACACCCTATAGCAAAAATCTCTCTCTCTAAAAAAAAAAAAAAAGACTTTTGATGCTCCAGTCTTTTCTGATTGGCCCATTTGACCTACTATTGCCTACCCTTTGGTGATATGCATTTTAATTTCTTGACCCATTCAATTTTTGTGAAGTGTTCTTTGTGTTGTTATTTCCTTCCAAAAGTCAGCCAAGGAGTGCCTCTCTTTAAAATGTCTCCTCCTTACTGCTCTCTGCAGGTACATCTTTTTGGTGTCAGATAGTAAACTTTAGTATGTCATGATTATCCACGAAATAGAGGATTTCAGGAGACCATCAGCACATATGACAGGTTTCAGTGATGTAGAGGATCTTAGAGGCCACCTAGATTCATCTTATTTATTTATTTTTTTTGAGAGGTTTTTGCTATAGGGCACGTGCGCTTGCCAGACAGACAGAGAGAGAGAGAAAGACAGAAAGCGAGAAATCACCCCCGCCTCCAGAAGGGATGGCCACACCGCAATCCATTCTCCTCTATTCTTCTCTCAGGATCTTGGGCACACACGCACGTGCGCCCGGTGTGAATTTTAAGCCACCACGTCTGGGACGCAAACCGTGGTCGGCTACATGGGAGTCCAGTGCCAGCCATTATGCCAACTGATGTTCACCAGAAGATTAATTTTTTTTTCTTTTTTTGGAGAGGTTTTTGCTATAGGGTGTGTGTACTCGCCAGACAGACAGAGAGAGAGAGAAAGACAGAAAGCGAGAAATCACCCCCCAGGGGGGATGGTCATGCTGCAATCCCTTCTCTTCCATTCTCCTCTCGGGATCTTGGGCATGCACGCACACACGCCTGGCGTGAGTTTTAAGCCACCGGGTCCAGGACTCGAACCGCTGTTGACTACGTGGGAGTCCAGCGACATAGTCATTATGCTAACTGCTGGTCCCAAGAAGATTAATTTTTGAAAGAACATTCTCTTTTGAAGTAGATTTACAGAAATTGGCAAAGATAGAACAAAGAGGTCCTATGTACCCTTTATGTAGTGTACCCATTGTTATGTCTTACAATATCAAAAGCAAGAATTTGACATTGGTGTGATATGTAAGAATGTATATATTTAATTGCCAGAGAGCACATGTGCTTATCAGAGAGAGAGAGAGATGGAGAGAAAGAGAAATCACCCTCAGTGAGGTGTGTTCATGCCTCAGTACTTCTTCATTTCTCCATCTTATTGAGATTTGGGACACAAATGCCACATGCCTGGCATATTTTTTAAGACTTCAGGTCCAGAATTTGAACCACAGAGTCAGCCATGTGGGATCTGGCTCTTTAACCAAAAGGCCACAGAGCCAGGCCCAAATATATTTTTGAATGGTCATGCATCATAGTGCCACATTCCTTATTTTGTTAAAAATACAAATTCTCTCAAGAGTTGCATGGCTTTGAGGTTAGAGGAGAACTCTGCAACTGAAATAGATGGTTTTAGTAGTGCATGTCTCCAGTGTGTACTCTAAATAGTGTAATTCTTAAGAGGGTAGTAAAAATAATATTTCTCTCCCCCCTTCATTTGACCAATTTTCATAACATATGCCCTCACAATGAATTATTATTATTTTTTAAAATTATTTTTAATCGACACAATCATTGTATGTATTTATAATATATACTTTTTTAGTACATGAGTACAATGTGTCATGATCAGATTAGGATAAATAGCATATCTATCATCTCAAACCTTTATTATTTCTTTGTGTTGGATACATTCAAAAGCCTCTCTTTTAGCTAATCAAAATATACAGTCACAATGAATTATTGAACTAGGGACAATGGGTAGACACATTATAGAGATTGCCGAGAATATCTACTGGTGGTTCATCTTTTTAATATCTGTTTTAAAACGTTGTTTAGGGGACCAGCAGTTGGTGTAATGGCTATGTTGTTGGACTCCCATGTAGTTGACCACGATTCGAGTCCCGGACTCGGTGGCTTAAACTCACGCGGGGCGCATGTGTGTGTGCCCAAGATCTCAAGGGGAGAATGGAGGAGAAGGGATTGCGGCATGGCCAACCCCTCTGAGGGGGGGGGCGATTTCTCACTTTCTGTCTCTCTGTCTCTCTCTCTTTCTAGTTAGCACATGGGCCCTATGACAAAAATCTCTCTCTCTCAAAAAAAATCATTTAGAAAATCAAATTGAGGCTGGCTTATGTCTACTACAAACAGAAAGTGAATATATGCTTCAGAGCAGGTTTTCTAAGGGAGCACTTTCCCCATGGAGCAGTGACCGTATTGGTAAAGGAAGAGCTCAGAAGAGTTGATGAATTATGTATCTTTCCTGGAAGGTGTTTGCGTAGAGGACAAACTGCCCAAGTATGGAAACCTTCAGGTCAGCCTTTCTTCCCAGTTGTTGGCAGTGAATGAGCACAAGCCATATTTGATGAGCTGCAATTAACACAAAATGCTCATTTTGAAGCAGATTAAATTCCTTTGAAACTGAAGGAAAGTTGTTTTGAAAAAGACACTTGTCCTTCTGACAAAAGGCCTAGAGTTTTTTTGCTCCAGGTTTTTATTAATAGTTTAGTTTAGTGCAGCTAGAACTAATACAAAGAGACTGAGATAGAGAACAAAGTGAGAAATCACTAGGGGTATGTTTGTGGGGAGGATGGCCATGCTGCAATTCCTTCTCTTCCGTTCTCTTCTAGGGATTTGGGCATTCATGCACATGTGCCTGGTGTGCTTTTCAAGCCAAGTCCAGGACTTGACCCACAGAATTGGCTATGTGGGACAAAGTGCCTCAACCCCACACCACCTGCTGGCCCAAACTAAACATAATTTTTAAGAAGAGCTAAAATTTTGTCATTGAGTCTGTGTGTTCGTTTTACAAAATTTAGGGAATCAGATTTTGAATACAAATTTCACCAGTGGAATTACATAGCTATTTTGAAGAAATTCTATTTAACGTGTTACCTATGATTTAGAATGGACAGTTAGAAATATGAAGAGTTAGAAAAATGATATAATAATAATAGGCCACATGTTTTCTTGATGTGAGAAAAGGAAATCAATGATCTGTTAAAGTAGGGTAGGATGTATTCATTTGAGATTTACCCTAGAAAATAATGAGAGTTAGAAAGAGAGAGGATTTAAGTTTTTAGTCCATGATGATTTTGTAACCTTGATCATTTATAAATATTTGAATAATACGTTATTTTATTTCCTTATTTTTTTGATAGTGATATCACAAAAAAATTAATTTCCTGTTATTTTGACATGTGTTATTCTTTACAAATTCCTGAATTACCTAAATTAGTCTAGCTCTTATTTTGTAGATTAAGGAAGTCAGATTAAGTAATTTGTTTAAATGACCCGCAATAAATGATAGACAGGTCACCTTTTTATTTTAGCAAGTTGGCAAGAAACACTCTTGAAATCTCACAGACTTAATGTTGTAGTTGACTAAAAATAAACTCTCACAAATTAAAATAAATTTTTGTTCATTAAATATAAATGTAATTTTAAAAATTTTTGCCAGAGGGACCAGCAGGTGGTGTGGTGGTTTAAGGCTCTGGACTCCCATATGGCCAACTGCAATTTGAGACCCAGACCTGGTAGCTTGAAAATCATGTAGGACATGGGTGCATGTGTGCCCAAAAATCCCAAAAGGAGAATTATGGAGAGGGGATTGCAGCATGGCCATCCCCCTGGGAGGTGATTTCTCACTTGCCCTCTCTCTGTCTCTTTCTGTCTCTGGTGAACTCATGCTCCCCATGGCAAAAATCTTAAAAAAAAAAAAATGCCAGAGTGCACATGTACTTGCTGGAGGCGGAGCGTGGGGGGAGGGAGAGAGAGAGAGAGAGAGAAAGAGAGAGAGAGAGAGAGAGAGGAAGTGTCCTCATGGGAAATGGTCACATTGCAGTTCCTTCTCTGCTGTTTCTCCCTCTCTTTGGGATTTTGGGCACTCACACATGTGCTCCTGGTATTTTTTTCTTTCTCCCTTTCTTCCTCCTTTTTTCCTTCCTCCTTCCTTCTTCCTTCCTTCCTTCCTTCTTTCCTTCCTTCCTCTCTCTTCCTTCCTCTCTCTTTCTCTCTCTCTTTCTTTTTCTCTCTCTCTTTCTTTCTTTCTTTCTTTCTTTCTTTCTTTCTTTCTTTCTTTCTTTCTTTCTTTCTTTCTTTTAGGTTTTTTTTGCCATAGGATGTGTGAGCTCTCTAGAGATGAGAGAGACAGAGAGATAGAGAGAGAGGGAAAGTGAAAAAATCATCCCTTGGGAGATGGCCATGCCATCCTTTCTCCTCCTTACTCTTCTTGGGATCTTGGGCACACATGCACACATGCCCAAGAGTGATTTTTTTTTTTTTAGAATTTTTTTGCTGTAGAGCACAAGGACCACTCACTGGAGAGAGAGAGAGAGACAGAAAGTGAGAAATCACCTCCCGGGGGGATAGCCATGCCACAAGCCATTTTCCTTCATTCTACTCTTAGGAACTTGAGCTTGCACGCACATGCACCTGGTGTGACTTTTAAGCCACTGAATCTGGGACTTGAACCACAGTTGATGTGGGAGTCCAGCAACGTAACTATTACACAATCTGCTGGTCCTCCCAGCATGATTTTTACACCACCAGGTCAGGACTCAAACTCTGTGTTCAGTCATGTGGGGACCAGCTACCTTAACCACCATGGCATGGGCTGGCCTTGTAAATATAATTTAAAATTAATTAAAAAGATCTTTTTATGCAGGTAAGTAAGCAAGCAAAAGAATTAAGTAAGAATTGATATATTTTCTTTTTCTTCTTTTTCCCAATAGGACCAGACATATTATCAATCATTTCAGGTTGCCGAATATGGTGAGTTCCTTCATTTATTTTTAAAGAAAAAGAGCATTCCCATAGAGATAAGACATTTTCAAGAGCTATATTATTTAAAGTAAAAATCTCAGTGGATGAAACTTGGACATTCCTTTAGGCCTAAACATATTTTTTCCTTTATGTAAGTTCCAAAATCTCATATAGATTATGTACCCCACCCCAAAAATCTGAAATCTGAAATGCTTCAAAATATGAAAATGTTTAAGAGCTGACATTATGCCACTAGTAAAAAATTCCAGAGTTGACCTCGTGTAATGAGTAACAGTCAAAATTCTGCAATACAAAAATATTGTATATAATAAGACTACCTTATGACTATGTGTATAGGTGTATAAGAAACATAAGTGAATTTTATGTTTAGAATTGGGCCCCATTCCCATATTTCATTTTATATATGCAAGCATTTCAAAATATGAAAAAATCCAAAATCCAAAGTTCAAAATCCAGAACACTTCTGGTCCCAAGCCTTTAAGATAAGAGATACTCAACCTGTATGAAGAATAAAAGTAGAAAAATATCACCTATAGTTACATTATGCTTTTTTTTTTTTTACTTATGCACAATTTTTGTTTTATTGTGATCATGAAGTACTTAAAATTTCATAATTAAAGAAATTTTCTATAGGGTGCATGTGCTTTCGAGAGGCAGAGAGAGAGAGAGAGAGAGAGAGTGTGAGAAAGTACCCCACAGAGGCGAAGACCATGGCACAATCTCCTCCACTTCATCCTCTCTTGGGATTCTGGGCATGCACACATACACTCCTGGAATACTTCTTAAACTGCTGGGTCCAGGACTTGAAATGTGCAATTGGTCATGTGGGATCCAGCTGCCTTAACCACCACACCACTGGCTGGCCCTGAAATTTCATAATAATAATAATAATAATACAAAATTAACGTCACTTAATGTTCCATCTTTCTCGCTCGGTCACATTTGGTAGACTATTAAACTGCAGTTTAACAGGTGCCATGCTTATATCATCATTGATATAAATATATGTCTCCACTCGATAAAAATAGTGGGGCCCAGCTAATTTGCTTTCCTCTGAGAAGGAGAGATGAGAACAAAAGCATAGGACCTCAGCATTAGTTCATAATTTGAGTAGTTATTTTGGGGTTATATTTGTGGTTATTTTTATTTTATTTTATTTTTTTGATTTGTGCCACTTTTTGAGACCACATTTCATTCAAACAATAGAAATTCTAGAAAGCAGTTTTGTTACGCCTTTGTGGTTCATGTTCATGTATTTCATACAATGTTGTCAGATCTTTATCTCATGATACCTAGTACAGGGGTCTTAGAAGTTTTCATCTAACAGGCCAGACAGTAACATTTTAGAGTCTGTGGGCCATAAGTCTCTTTCGTGACTACTCAACTTTGCCTTTGTAGCTCACTGTCAACCATAGACCCTATGTAAATGAATGTTGCAATAAACTTTATTTTATGGACAAGGACATTTGAATTTCATATAATTTTATTGTGTCACGAAATACTATTAATCTTTTGATTTTTTTCCAACAATTGAACATTGTAAAAACCATCTTAGCTCATTCTAGTCATAGCTGGCCAAACTCTAATCTGGAGCTGTGCTATGCCTCACAGGGGGACACTTGCCATGTCTGGCTATTGAGCTCTTGAAATGTGGGTAATGGAGATATGCTAAGTGTAAAAGACACAACAGATCTAGAAGAATTATATAAAAGAAAGAAAAATGGTTCATTAATAGTAGTTTCTTATTTTGATTGTATGTTGAATTGAGTATATTTTAGAAAAATAGAGTTAAGCAAAATGATACAAAAATCATTTTCTTCTTTTTACTTTTTTTTTTTTTTAGTGTGTGTAGTAGAAATGAAAAGTTACATGAGTAGCACATTTTATTTCTTTTAGACAGCCCTTGTCTAGAAGAATAAATCATTAGGAACCAGCGTTTCTACAGGCTGTTTTCCTATCACATTTTGGTGATGCTAGGTGGTTGTGTGTTGTTGAATGGGGAATAGTGGAGGTGAGGAATTGATTGCCATCCTGTAATGCTTGAGGAGGGGCACTTAACTCACCACCACTGAAAGGTACCTAACTTCTATGTTGGTAGAGGATGTTCATAGTTGACCCCTGTTACATTTTTGGACTTCTTGTTCTACATTGGTCTACAGTCAGGGTACCTTGGCCCATTAAGGGCTTTAGCCTTATTTGGAGCCTAGAGGTCTGCCTTACATTGCTGACCCATTGACCTTGATACTTCTCGTGTGTTAATTGAATAGTGAAGTTTTTGGTTAAGAGGCTTTGACCTATTTCTTTGGTCAGTGAAGTTATAGGAAAAATGCCTATAAACTAGAAATAAAAATGTTTTCTTGCTCGTTTACTTTGGCAGAGTGCTTTATATCAATATAGTATTAATATTTATAAAGCACTTCATATCTTAATTATATAAATCTGACCAAAGTAGATATTTGTAATTTTGGGTCAAACGAAGGACTTTTCATAATAGCATGTACTTGAATCCTGAAGAATCTAAGCTTAAATAGTACCATGTATCAACTTCTTCATAACAATTTTTAAAAATAATTTTGTTCAGCTGAAGAGGGCTGTAAAATAGATTATTTAAAGGATCACTCTTGCTTTTATTTTCCAGTATTACCAAAATTTGAAGTTGCTTTACAGACTCCATTATACTGTTCCTTGAATTCCAAGCATTTAAATGGCACTGTCACAGCAAAGTAAGTATCATTTTTCTTGTGATGTAACACTGAACCATTATAAAACCCTATGACAAAAAGCCCATTTTATACTCCAGAATATTAGCACAGTATTTTGATTATTAAAATAATCTAATAGGCAGCATTTATCTATAATAAATGATTAAGTGTGGAATAGGTCTACACAGGTCTTTGCGTTTGTCTCTGCTTCCAAACTGGGCCAGTCCTAAAGTACTTCCAACAGACTAGTGTCTTTCCAAGACTTATCACGAGATTTATATTACAGATTGTGCCTGATTGTTTGCTTTATAAAGGTTGTATCTTTTTTTTTTTTTTAATTACCAAAGGGTGGGATTATCTTTGGAGAGATACAGAGAGACAGGGAGAGGGAGAAAGCACCCCCCAATGGAGCATGATCATACCTCAATCTCTTTTTCATTTTTCAGTCCTGTTGAGATTTTGGACATGTATATACACATTCCTGTCATGTTTTTCAAGCCATTGGTGCCAGAATTCCAACCAGGCAGCTGACCATGTGGTATCTGGCCACCTTAACCACCAGGCTACTGGTTCAGCCCATAAAATTGTATCTTTATCCCCTTTTCAGATGACATGGAGTTGAGATGACTTACTTCTTTCTAAATCCCATTTTTATTTTTTTCCATCAACAGTGGAAGTTAAGCTCTTGGTCATGGGGCAGAGGTTGGGGGAAGGTGGAGGGAAGCTGGTTGTCTTGTTGCACTTAGCTGATGAGTCAGTAATCCACATTTATCCATTCAGCATATATACACAGACACTGCCACCCCACTCTGTCTAACAGGTCTATGGTGGCTCTCACGATTTTGACCCACTGGCATAAATAGCAAGTATTTTGTTTTGCTGACAAAGAAGGAATATTCCAGGCTAGTGATTCTCTAATGTTTTTTTCAGTTGTCAATATCTATGCTTTGATTCCTGAAATTTATTGGATCATCGGAAAAGTCATTAGGCATTTTTGCATAGAAAAACAGGAAAATACGTCATGACTTTCCCCATGGCCCAATATTTATTTGGTTTTATAACTTAGTCTTTAGAGTTCCTAAAAACTGGACCTCACCTCATGGCTATCTCATCGCCATACTCCTTGCCTCACGAAGATTCATAGCAGAGGCAAATGGTAGGTAGCAGTGAGTTTTCTGCAGAAGCAGTCCACAGACCAAAGTATCCTGAGGACTCCTGCTTTAAACACTGTGTGGCAAGAAATCATGTGAAACTTATAAAACAAAGGCAAAAGCATGTCTACAATTTGTACTAAGTTTTCTGCCATGTTCAACCAAGAGGCAACTTCTAGTACGAATTGGAGTACTGTGGATGAATTTATGGTTTAGAAAACACATATGTGAAACACATAAATGCTTATATTATACTTGGTCTTAACCAGAGGTTAAGCAATTCTCTTTAGATTTTTTTTTTTTCATTTTTTAAACTAATGCTTACAGCATTTGGTAGATACAGGCTAGCTATGGTAGCACAGTGGTAATGCAATGCTCAGCAATGCTGAAGCCGTTCGGGAAGGTCCTGGGTTTATATTCTGAGGTCTCTCTGAACATGCTGGGCACGTTTGTGTGTGTCTGCCATACTGGCTGCATTAATCTGGGGGTGGATCACAGCATGAGGACCCTATTGGGGGTGACATCTCTTTTTTCTCTCTCAAGGAAGAAATAAATAAATAAACTTAACAAAAACTTAGTGGTGGGTACAAATTCACACAAACCATGTACATACTTTATGGGTACAAATCTGACTCAAGAAGATAACTTTGGTATTATGGATTTAAATTTCAAGAGCTTTCCTCCTTGAAGGCTACCAGACTCCTTTTAGTTTTGAAATTATTAACTGAGGTGAATGAAAAAAATATGCATTTATCTATTAACTTTGATGTGAACATGTGCTCTTTGGTCTTACCTCATCAAAATAATAGACTCTTTCCCACTAACCACAGTGGGTTCTGGAGGATTGTAAAGAAAACAACATAGCCTATATCCAGCTTACTTCAGTAACTCCCGGGGACAATATAATAAAAAAAAAGTTTAATCTAAGGTTCATTAAAACATGTTTATTTGATGAACTGAGACTGCAGCATTGAAATAACATAAAAATAGAAAACAACATAGGCTATATCCAGCTTACTTCAGTAACTCCCAGGGACAATATAATAAAAAAAAAAGTTTAATCTAAGGTTCATTAAAACATGTTTATTTGATGAACTGAGACTGCAGCATTGAAATAACATAAAAATAGGTGGTAGGGGTGGGGAGTAACATGAATTACAGTGATATATTCACTTTTGAAAAAGTTTATCTTGTTATTTCTTCAGAGAGAGAGAGAGAGAGATCTTCAGCAAGGTTCTCATGCTGTGATCCACCCCAGCCTCAGCCAGCCTGCACGTCCATGCTTTGCATGTACAAGGGGCCCTGAGATCTGATCCTGGGCCTTTTCCTATGGATGCTGTTGTGTTACTACTGCTGGGCTGCTCTCTGGCTCCTGATAGGTTCTTTTTGGTATAATTTATGAAATTTTTTGCTTTGACTATTTTCAGAAAAAGAAAAATCTTGTTTTGTTAATGACACTATCTCAGAATATCTTTGATTTGCTATTGAAAATGTTCTCGAGCTATTACTTTATGAATAATTTGCTCTAAATGCATCCAGGTTCTACTAAGGACAAAAATTGTGAATATCTGTGTTTCACAATTATTATAATCAATTCAGTGCTCAGGAAGCCAAATTTGCTTTACATTTAAATAAAAATTAAAAGTACTCATGCCTGAGAATACTCAAAATTATACCTGTATTTTAAAGCTCCCTGTACTTTCAGATGATATAGCTCTTCTAAAATAGAGCATTCTGGTTTTCTAGTTTGGTTTCTATTTAGTCTTTGATGAGATATAAGCACTATCAATTTTCAAAGACTTTCTTTGGAATAAGTAAATTTGATGCTAAAGTTGCTAACCAGGGTTTCTGCTAACTTTACTATTTTCATTCAGAAGAGTGGTACATTTGAAGGTGGATTTATTTATTTTTTCTTAGTTTGTAATATTTTATATTTACCATTTGCTTCATAATTTGAGTTAATCCAGTTGAAGGGCCATCTCAGTGTTCAATGAATAGATTCGGGAAGCAGAAATTTACCGTTACAATTTATAGAGTGCAAAGCAAAGTTAATTTCCATGTTTGGCTTAGCATTTCATAATAGACATGGAAGAACCCAGGAAAAGCATTTATAAAAGGCATCACCGAAGTAAAATGATTTACCAAAGATTGTCCCTCCTTCACATGAAGAGAATTTCCTATGATCAGAGGGGATAAAATTAATATAGAATGCAAATTCAGCAGAGTGAAATTTTCTTAAAAAGAATTACTTAACTTTATTTACTTAAATTTGACCAGAGAGGGACAGAGTGAGAAAGAGAGGGAAAGTGAGAAAGAAAGTTCAGGTCCAGAACTCGAATTGTGGTCGGCCATGTGGGAATCCAGCGCCCTTAACCACCATGCCACGTGCTGGCTCCAGCAGAGTTAAATTTGACTCAAGAAAATAAATTTGGTACTGTGGGTTTTAAAAATTATTCTTATTTTAAAATTTCCTGTAAAAACTCAATTTTGACTGCTCTGAGCCCATTTGTTTAAATAAACCCTCCAACTAATATTGGAACATGTAGCAATAAGCCACCATGAATGCAGTTTTAGCTAACACTTAAAAACCCTCCAAACCACAGAGTCTCATGGGCACACAGTTAATGGGTCAGATAAGATTTATAGGAGTGAAAGATTTTCATAATCTATACAGAATTATCTGTTGATGACAATGTGTATAGGAATATCTTTGAGCTAATATGCTGTATATTCATGCTAGAAAAATTCATTTTGTGTGCTGTAAAGATGTAGTTATTAAATGTGAAAAAAATAAAAAAATTTAAAAATCTTTGTACAGGAGACTGTCATGTTCAACTATGATCAGATATTTTCTGAGACTTTTCAGATGGTTAGAGGGTGGGAAAAATGTGCATTATAAAGTGTTTTAAGGTACTTTAGTTAAAAGTATTCATATCTAGAAATATAATTTCAAGGATTATGATTTATTAAGAACAGTCTTTGTTTAGTTTAAAATTTTTTTAGTAGAAGTGTATTTTGAAAAAAAATTCTTTTATGTTTGATTGCTAGTATATACTATTGAAAGTTATATTCTCATTGTGTCCTTCTGATAATATCAAATTGAAAATATAAAAGAACCTTGTTTCTTATTTTTCAGGTATACATATGGGAAGCCAGTGAAAGGAGATGTAACACTTACATTTTTACCTTTATCCTTTTGGGGAGTGAAGAAAAATATTACAAAAAAATTTAAGGTAACTGCAGATATTTTAGAGCTTGTAATAGAGAAATTTATAGGTGTACTTTTTCTAGAAATAAGATCTTGTACTGAACAAACAAATAATTGTGTCTGGGTAAATTTAGGACTCTTCAGTATTGGACAGGTGAGAATTTACCCATGATTAAAATGGAACCAGAGCTATCACATTATTGTGACTTAGTTTGACTTCTTTTTCTAACATTTGAATTGCTAAAGTGAAAAATAAAATTGAACTTTTAAACAAAACAGATAAATGGATCTGCAAACTTCTCTTTTAATGATGAAGAGATGAAGAATGTAATGGATTCTTCAGATGGGCTTTCTGCACACATGGATCTGTCTTCCCCTGGGCCAATAGAACTCATAGCTACAGTGACAGAATCACTTACAGGTTTGTAGACTTCTAGGTGATGGTGGAGCTATTTACATGGTGCTGCTGTGTCACCTTTCTTATTATAACCAGGACTTTCATTAGAGAACATTGTTGCCTTTTTATTTAATGTTGAAATTGTCATGACTATTAGTCTAACTTTAAGGATATTTTCATAACACAGGGAAACATTTTCTGTGAGCGTCTGCACTTCAACCACATGTAATGGCTGTAATTTTTCCATTTCTACTCAGTTTTCAGCATGAAAACTACACCAAAAGGTCTATGTTTTCAGTTTACTAATAACTGTCTTTTTTTTTAAAAATCACTATATTCTGAAATCTTTCATTTATTTATATATATAGGTAAATAGGAACCCTATAAATATCTTCCTGCCACAATCCACCTCCAGTCTTAGCTGGTCTGGATCATGGGCATGTGTGCATGTTCCCAGAGTGCTCAGGGAGGTCTTAGGATATGAACCCAAGACCTTTCCGATCTAGTTTTGTTAATACTGTGCTATCACATGGCCAAGTTTTTTCTTTAATACGAACATAAAGGTTGATTTATCGAACTTTTCTATTACTATTTCTATTAACTAATCCCCACAAGAGCAAAAGCCTGTTCTTCCAAGAGCTTTAATCTGTTGATGTCCATGCCACAGAGGGAGGATAACAGTAACAGTACTTAGAAGGGATCCATAGAGAACCTAATAGAACTGTGTGGTTCTATTAGTGTTAGAGCCAATTTGGGAATGAAGACTTATGTGCCCTGGCATTTTTATTTTTACTTTTTTGAGCATGAAAATAAGTCTTTATTTTCAGGTATTATCCACCAATAAGAGAAAATTAGGCCTACAGTTTTAGCTCTTGACATGAAGTGAACTAAGAGGCAAATTAACATCCATCAGATACAACTAATGGACCAACTTTTTAAAAATTCAGGCTATCTTGAAAGCTTGCAACACACTAGATGTTGTTTATAGTCTCTAGTGATGGCTTTTTCCTGATATTTAAACTGCTCTGATACCTGAAAGTACTTTCACAAGTAGCTTAGATGAAGAGATTTGGTAGATAGAAACTATTGTCAAAATGCTATTTTGCATTCTAAATGGTGCCATTTCCAAAACAGGTATCTCACGAAATGCAAGCTCCAATGTATTTTTCAAGCAGCATGATTACATCATTGAATTTTTTGATTATGCTACTGTCTTGAAGCCATCTCTCAACTTCACAGCCACAGTAAGTTGGTACATTTATTTCTGATCCATTATGTTCAAACTGGGAAATAGTATTTTCTGTACTTTTTCTAAAATTGTAAGCTCAAAAGTAGGTAGATTACTTTTCCTCTTTAGATACATGAGGCATGTAGAATTGCTTCCTAATAATCTTTTATATAATTTTTCTAAAAAAGGAGTTTTCAATGAAATATATTTTTCTAAAAATTTAACAAGCAATGTAAGTTAGATGTGGTTTGTTACACTGATGCTTTTACTAATTAATTGATATAATTAGATGGTAGTCAAAAATTTTCATTTAAATTTGATTTTTATGAGGACTTATTTTTAGTTCTAGCAAAGATATAGCATTAAAAACGTATCAACACACTTTTTTTTTTCTCAAGTGAGAATATTGAATGAACACTTATTAACTGAGTGAATTTTGGCAATGTGCAAGGCAAAGGTTTACAGAGCTTACCAGGACTAAATTTCTACTTGGGAATTTACAGTTTTTGTAATAGTAATGAGAAAACACACAACTATAATTTAAGGCAGAATAATATTTGTGTTATGAATAAATTTCTATAGGGATTTGAGCTGGGGATTGGGAAACTTTTTGCAAAAGGCTAGTTAGTAAATGTTTTCAGCTTTGTGGGCCATGTCATCTCTGTTACAACTATTCAACTCTCATGAAAGTAGTCACAGATGATTTGAGAAATGAGAGTGGTTATGTTCCAATAAAACTTTATTTACACAACTACTGGATTAGTCTGCCTGCTTGTGGTAGTTTACTGATCTTTTATTTAAAGAAAAGAGAGGTCACTTGTTGAATGGGTAAGAGAACTTAAGGTAGTTCCTTATGTCAATGATCTTAATCATTTGCAGTTTGAAAAGGGCAGTAAAAAAACAGGAGGCTGCAAAAATTGGGTCTTCAGAAAAGTCATGACACATTTTGCACAGAGAAACTTAGAAAAATACTGTCATGACTTTTCTGGTGACCCAATAGTAATTAGTAATTCCAAATGAGCAGAGTTAAACAATGGGAATTTTTTTTTTTTTTGAAGAGGTTTTAGCTATAGTACACGTGCACTTGCCAGATAGACAAAGAGAGACAGAGAGACAGAAAGCGAGAAATCGCCCCCCAGGGGGATGGCCATGCCACAATCCCTTCTCTTCTAGGGATTTTGGGCACGCATGCACATGTGCCCAGCATGACTTTAAGCCACCAGGTCCAGGAATTGAACCACAGTCGACTACATGGGAGTCCAGCGACATAGTCATTATGCCAACTGCTGGTCCCGACAATGGGAGTGGTTTTAGGAGGGAGAGTTGGCTTTGGGGTTGGGATGCTATATTGAAGAGGAAATTCTGAATTGTTTGTTGAAAGATTAATTGGCTGTGGGGGGTGAGAGGTGGCGAGAATGTAAGTTGGCACAAAATATGAGTCCCAGTTGGCAAGTTCAGGATATATTCAGGTGACAGCAAGTGGACCAGTGTGCAGCTACAGCTGAGGGCTTGTGTACAGGAGGGATGAGATGGGAGATGAAGTGGGACATTGTAGATCCTAACTGGCTCATAGGCATGGCTGAACGTTATGCTGTAGGCAATGAGGAGCCTAGGAGGTTGGAGAATGTTCAAGGGATGTGGTGAAAACAGTGCTTGCGGAAGACTGATCAGGTTGTTTGCAGAAGGATGGCAACAGCCCAGCACTGGAGTTGTGGTTGTGGGAGTGGAGAGGATAGAAGAGGGAGAGGACAGGACTTGGTGTTGATTGGAGAAGGCAGGAGTGGGAGGGAAAATGCAGAGATACTACGTCTGGCAGAATTGTGGCATTAGCAGAAATAGAAAAGGTGAGATGGATGCTCAGATTTAGATGTGTTGAATTTGAGGTGCCTGAGATTCAAGTAGAAATTTCCTTCAGAGAATCAGAGGTGTTGTCTATGAGCTCCAGACCAGGGTGAGGATGGGAATTTTGGATTTAGGCTACAAGAACAAAGAGATAACAAACTAAGCTGCAGGAGTGCTGAGACCTTTGAGTGAGAGAACAGAAGACTGATGAGTTGGCCTTGACAAATTCCCGCATTGAGCAAGAGGCAAAAGGAACCAGAAAGGCCACTGAGAAGATGTAGAAAGAGAAGTAGGAAGTGAAGGAGGTTGCCGTAGAGCCATAGAAGGTGAGGGAAGCAGTAAGCCTAAGAAAGAGGTTAGTGGTATCAGATGCCTCCCAGAACGAGACCCTGAATCTGGAAATTAGAGTGCTACCAATAGGTTTTGGGGGTTCAATTTCAAGGCAGTAGCACAGATGGAAACTGGATTGAACTGAACTTCTTTTCCTCTTTTACTACCTGTTTTTCAAATGTCTTATTTTGACAACTAGGTGAAGGTAACCCGTTCTGATGGCAATCAACTGACTCCTGAAGAAAGAAGAAATAATCTAGTCATAGCAGTGACACAGAGAAACTACACTGAGTTCTGGAGCAGATGGGACAGTAGAAACCAGGAAATGGGAGATGCCCTGGTCATAAATTATACAGTCCCCCAGAATGGAGTCTTTAAGATTGAATTTCCGATCCTGGATGATTCCAGTGAACTACAACTGAAGGTGCCACCTGTTTCCTGTCGTTACGTTACTGCGGCTGCCTCATTGCAATTGTAATCTTGTAATCCGACTCAGCCAGCTGGAGCTGGAGGTCCCTAGGAAGTGGGTACATGTTTATATTAAAAGAAATGGAGGGAAAGTGTAAAAGTAATTTAATGACAGCGACTGAGGGGTTCGACTCAGTGTTTCCTTGTAAGTTCATTTCGAAGAGCGCAGTAAACTATAGCAATGTGACGATACGATGGAGAAGCCCGAGTCCTCCGTCTAGGCTGATTTCAGCCATCTGAAGTTTTGTCTTGGCAAGAGCTGAAAGGAAAGAGGAATATATAATGTTTTTACACTTACGTACCTTGGCTGAGTTCTCTTCCCTAGAGCAGCTCATCTGCTCATCAGCCAGTCCTGCTTCCTTCCTTTTGGATATCGGCCCTGTCCAAGGCAGGGCCTTAGCACAGCAGAGTGCTCCTTAGGTGTGGCCTCTTTCATTTTGACCCTGAACATTGACAGATGGAGTGGGAGGATATGATTTCTTACTTGCATATGAGCTACGTGTTCTGGAGAGAAAGAAAAGATCCCTTTTCATTTCATTCTCTCTTTTCACAATGGTACCAGATAAAACACCTTTGCTTCTGAAGTCAGTTAGGACTATGCTTTTTTCCTTCTTAGGTTATATTGATGAAGACCCATTCTCTTGTTTTAAAGCTATCAGTGTCTTTATAGTATAAGCTAGAAAATGATGAAGAGCCAATATTTGTGAATGTTTTTCCCTGCATTGACAAAAACCCCAAAAAGAGTGAAAGTAAATTCGGCTTCTAGTAATTATTCAGCAGGTAGCATTATTTTTTGCTAAAGGTGTTACTGAAGATGAAAATTTACAGCCCCTTTATCTTTTATTATAGGCCCATTTTCTTGATAGTGTAAGTAGCATGGCAGTTCATGGTATGTTTACATCTCCCAGTAAGACATATATCCAGCTCAAAATAAGAGATGACAATATAAAGGTAATGCTTACAACTTACTTGATAACTACAATATAATTTTATTCTTTTGCTATTGATATGCATGTATTAATTAAAAAATCTAAATTATTTCTTTTCTAGGTGGGATCACCTTTTGAGTTGGTGGTTAGTGGCAACAAACAATTGAAGGAATTAAGCTATATGGTAATCTCTTACAGAATTTGAATTTATATATAATCTATTATAGAATCATCTTCAATGGTGTCTGTCTTTTGCCTACACTAAACTTACTAGTTTAAAAAATTTTAGCTTCATACCTTTTTAACCTGTCCTTTTTTATTGTTTGTTTTAAATTTGCTAGAGGGCACATGCTCTCATAGGAGAGAGAAAAACAAAGTGAGCAAACACCTGTGCTCCTTAGGGCTGATCACATGGCATCCCTTCTCCTCAATTTCTCCTTTTGGAATTTTGTGCTTGCATGCACACACAACCAGGGTGTTTTTTAATTCCCCTGATTGAGGACTTGAATGAGCAGTTGGCCATGTAGGATCTAGTTGCCTTACTTACCACTGGATGACCCCTAACTTGTCCTTTTCTATTGCAGTCAAAATATTTTTTCTTTTTTCACCTATATTTGTGTTTCTAATTTAAAATGGATAATTAAATCTTGCATTAAGTTTAAAATTTTAATTTCTATTAAATAAGTAATATAGATTCATTATAGATAATACATTTAATACAAATAAAAAAGAAAAGAAATGGCTGTCTGCGGCCTTCAGATTTTGCTAAAATTCTGCTCTCCCAGTGGTACCCTGTATTCCAATCAAACACCAATTCTCGATTATGAAGCTACCGCTGCTCCAAATAGTATTGCTTTAATCTTGTCCTTTTTTTTTTTTTTTTTTAATAGAGAAGCAGTTTTGCTATAGGGCATGTGCGCTTGCTAGAAAAGAGAGAAGCAGTTTTGTTATAGGGCATGTGCGCTTGCTAGAAACAGAGAGAGAGAGACAGAGAGACAGAAGGCAAGAAATCACCTCATGGGGAGAGGGCTTCTGGGGTGGGCAGGGGATGGCCATGTGGCAGTTCCTTTTCCTCTATTCTCCTCTTGGGATTTTGAGCATGCATGCATATGTGCCCAGTGTGAGTTTCAAGCCACCAGGGATGGGATTTGAACTTCTGTCAACTATGTGGGAAGTCAGCACCTTAACCACTATGCTACCTGCTGATCCCAATCTTACACAATATGCATTTATTATCTTATAGTTTCAGTAGTATAGGCACAGCTTAACTAGGTCCTCTGTTCAGTGTTTTGCAAGGCAGCACATAAGATCTCAGCAGTGCTGTATTTTTAGCTGCAGGCTTGACTGAGCAAGAACGTGCTTCCAAGCTCACTTAGGTTATTGACAGATTTTATTTTTCTATAGTGTGACTCAGGGCCCTATCTTTTTACCATCTAGTGATTGGATGCTACCCTCCATTCCTAGAGGCCACCCAACCATGAGGTTCTCTATATAGGCAGTTCACAACATTGCTGATTATTTATTCAAAGTCAGGAAGTGGTTCTTTCCTGAAGTCAACTAAGAAAAGTCTTATAAGGGAACGTAGTCATTTTCCATCATCTTTGCCATATTCTGTTAGTTAAAAGTTGATAAAAAATTTCATCCATTCAAGGAGGAGAATTCATGAGGACAGAATTCACTGGGAGCTGCCTTAAAATGTGCCTGCTATATCATGTACTATCTTATTTAATCCTTACAATTCTACCAGGGTGCTATCATTATAAAGTTAAAAACAACCCCAGGGCATCAGCTAGTAAAAAGCTAAGCCAAGTTTCAAGTCAGGAAGTTTTTTATCCATTTTTAATTTTTTTTAATTCATGATAGAGAGCTTGTGTGTATGCAAAGAGAGAGAAAACACCCTTGACCAGGTCTTACACCATGATCCCCTTCCAGCACTCCAGCCCTCCAGCTTGCCAGGGTCTTGGGCATACATATGTGCTCAGCTGGCATGTTTTCAGGTCAGCCCTGAGATTCAAACCTGCAGGTGACCATGTGACTCCCAGTACTGCATTTCAGTATATTACCATCTGCACCACCAAGGCTGGGCCATCAAGCCAGGCAGATTTGAACCAGAGTTTAAACCTTTATCTTGCTTTATATTAGCCTGATAAAACATGCTTGTTGAATTTATAAAGAAGCAAAACATTTTAAAGTCACAAAAATGGAAAATTATCTGTTTATGATAACATATATAATAATATCTGTAACTAGACTAATACATAGTGTATTCATGCTGGGAAAATCCATTTCCCAAGCTGTAATGATATATAGCTATTGAATGCATCAAAAAATTCAAAAATATATAAATGAATAAATAAATTAGTAAACAAACTAATGAATGAATCAATGTTGGTACAACTTTTCACTTGACAGGTGATATGAAATGTGTCTATGTAATTGATATAAACACACTTGGCACAACATGTTGCTTAAGATATGAATCTTAGAAATTATCAAATTCTTTTTTTTGGGGGGGAGGGAAAGGTTTTTGCTATAGGGCATGTGCACTTACCAGACAGACAGAGAGAGACAGAGAGACAGAAAGTGAGAAATCACCCCAGGGGGATGGCCACGCCGCAATCCCTTCTCCTCTGTTCTCCTCTTGGGATCTTGGGCATGCACGCACGCGTGCCCTGCAAGAGTTTTGAGCCACCTGGTCTGGGACGTGAACCTTAGTGGACTACATGGGAGTCCAGCGATGTAGCCATTATGCTAACTGCTGGTCCCAGAAATTATCAAATTCTTGAGCCTCATAAGCCTATTTGGTAGAGTGGGAGAATAAATGTTCTGGGATATTTTTATACATTTATTACTATTATTATTTTATTCATTCAATCACTATATATATTTAGCTTGCAAAGAGAATTTACCTGACATGAAATACACCTCAGATCAATCCAGTCGAGAATACCATACATGTTGTCATTAACAGGCAATAAAACATTTCTGTGTCCCACAAATGTCCTGCCTCTCTATTTTTTTCTCCCTAATTTCCTTCCCTACAGTCTTCCCCACTCCTCCCCTACACTCTCCCCCACTCCCACCCTCTTTCCACACTGTCTCCAGTGTCCATAACTAGTTTCAATGCTTTGATGTCCTCCAATCTTTCAGTCTCTGTGAGTGTAAATAGTCAGTATATGTTAAGTGGAGACATACAGTGTCTCTCTTTCATAGCCTGACTTGCTGCACTCAGCTACAGATGTTCCCTATTTGTCCATTTTCTATCAAATGGTCTTGTTTATTATGGATGACTAATGTTTTGTAGTTTTTTATGACTGAATAAATACTCCATGGAGTATATATGCCACACTTTTTCAATCCATTCATCTGTTTGTGGGTGTTCTTGCAGGCTTTTAAGCTGATTAAGTCAAGAATTCATGTATAAGCTTAAAGTTATGATAAATGTAGCTTCAGATGAAATTCTACCAGCTTTAGCTAAAAAACTAAACTTACCTTTTTTTCTTTTCAGGTAGTATCTAGGGGACAGTTGGTGGCTGTAGGCAAACAAAACTCAACTACCTTCTCTTTAACACCAGAAAATTCTTGGGCTCCAAAAGCTTGTATAATTGTATATTATGTGGAAGATGATGGGGAAATTATAAATGATGTTCTAAAAATTCCTATTCAGCTTGTTTTTAAAAATGAGGTAAGATTTAAGGTAATGATATTTAAAAAAGAAAACCTTTATGTACATATGAAGTCTGAGAAATGTAATATTTCTTTAGAAAGTATCATTATATCAAATTGGTTAGTTTAGACATTTATATTATTCATTTCTGTTGGGTTATAAGTAAAGTCATGATGCATTTTTGCATAGAGAAACAGAAATATATGTCCTGACTTTTTGAGCACTGTGATATTTATTTTTAAGATACAGTTCTTGGCTATGGACTTTAACTCAAATTCATGAAGTTGTTTCAGGATCTTTCAAATGGTTAAGTCAGTATTGCTCTGGTATGGAATTCCAGTGGCAATATAAATTTGTGTTGACATTGGTGTGAGAATGAAATGAAAAGATGAGAACATTGGAAATGATATGTCGAAGCAGAGAAGGCTTTGGTTTATTCACAATATTTCATCAGTTAGAAACTAACCCCCGGACAAACTTTCAAGAAACTGGGTTATCTTGCACATGAGGATATCTTCTGTTCAGCACTGGCTGGGGCTAAGGATGGGGAGGTGGAGGGCAGACAGAGAAGTGAAGGATAGTTCAGACTTTTACCACTGTGAGAACCTCTGACTTGCAAACACTGTGGGAGTGAAGGTTTTTTTTTTTTTTTTTTTTAAAAAAAAAGAGAAGTATTATGCATTCTTTTAGAATTATCCCGAAGCCCAGGCAAATGTAGAATCTTTGTAAGTTTTCAGTCATTGATTTGCTATTGGTAAGTCATGTAAATAATGTTTTAAAAGAGTAAAATCAATCAATCCTGTTTTCTCCTGTATTTAGATAAAGCTGTTTTGGAGCAAAGCTAATGCTGAACCATCTGAGAAAGTCTCTCTTAGGATCTCTGTGACACAGCCTGAGTCACTGGTTGGGATTGTAGCTGTTGATAAAAGTGTGAATTTGATGAATGCCTCAAATGATATTACCATGGAAAATGTGAGTGTAGCCATTCATTATTATTATTGTTATATGTTAAAAAAGAAAAAAAAAAGCTTTATTGTATTGCCTCAAAAATTTAAAGGAAATATCATTAGTTCTTCTGCATGTATAAGCAAATAATCAGTAAAATTTCCAAATAAAAGAAATCTGTAGTCCAGTAGTTACATTGGAAAGAAGCTTATGTAATTAAGTATCTTTGCTTTCTTACATGAGAAATACCACCTAAAGTCAGGTAGGAGAAATAAGTTTTGGAGATCTATTGTACAATATGATGGCTAATGTTAATAATAATGTATTATGTACTTGAACGTTGCTGAGAGAGTGAATTTTAAATGTTCTCAACACAGAAAAAAATGAAGTATGTGAGGTGATAGATGTGTTAACTAGATTGATTTAATTATAACACTATATATATCAAAACATTTTATTGTGCCCCATGAATATATATAATAATTTTAAAAAAATTAGCCACCTAGAGTTTTTTCCACTTTCATACTAAAGTTTGATTTATGACACTCAAGAAAGTACTAGGAAATTGACTTGCAAAACTCTGGATGTCATTGGATAAGAGAATTCTAGGTTATTTTGAAGTGTTTCCTATTTTGGTTGTGCATAATGGTTACAGATAATATAGTCCCCACTGAATCACGGATTTACAATTTATTGAGAGAGTTAAATCATGTTAATCTGCATGAAATTTACAATCTAAGAAGTATGTGAACATCTGACATTACATAAATTAATTCCATATTTATTAGCTATTTAATTTTATTTTTATTTGTACATTTTTGATATAACCTCTTGTGCCATTGCTAGTTGTAATTTAGATGTGTAGTCTATGTTTGTTAATTAATTTAGTACAGTGATTAACAACATTTTAGGAAGATATTTATATCTGTATCTACCTATCTATATCTGTCTATCTATCTATCTATCTATATAGTTAGGCTGATTTGATCATTACATTATAAAATTAATTTGCTTGTGAAAAAGTATGCATTTCTTTCAGTCTATATAACTAATTTTTCTCAGTCATCGTCTTTTTTATTTTAAAACTAATTGGTCATTTTTGTTTCTTTGACTTTTTCTGTATTCCCATTATTGCTGATAGTCTATAGATCTTCCCTTTGAGTTATCTGAATTTAGTAATATCCCTTATTTTATAGCTTTTAGGATATCTTTATAACTATTTTATTTTTTCCTTCTATATGTGTATATGTTTCTGTATATGTACATACACACACGTGTATATACACACACATATACCCATACTCCTATTTGGTGAATGTACTCTCTCTCTGCCTCATTTTTATAATATTTTACATAGTATTATATATATATATATACACATACACACATATACACAAACACACACACACACACACACACGATATTATAATTGCTATCCCAGCTTCTTTGGTTCATATTTGCCTGTATTTTTTCCTCTTTTTATTTTCAACCTTTTGTAAGTTTCCGATTTTAGGTGTATCTTTTTTTTTTTTTTTTTTTTTGAGAGGTTTTCGCTATAGGGCGCATGCACTTGCCAGACAGACAGAGAGAGACAGAGAGACAGAAAGCAAGAAATCACCCCCCCAGAGGGGATGGCCACACCTCAATCCCTTCTCCTCCATTCTCCTCTTGGGATCTTGGGCACCCACGCACACACGCCCTGTGTGAGTTTTAAGCCACTGGGTCCGGGACGCGAACCACGGTCGACTACGTGGGAGTCCAGCGACATAGCCATTACGCTAACTGCTGGTTCCCGATTTTAGGTGTATCTTATACATAGCACATTATTACATTTTGGTTTTGTTTTAAAATCTAATTTTATAGTATATTTTAATAAGTTTATTTAACATGCATACTAGAACATACTAGAATAATTGTTCTTGTTCTCTCTTTTTTTTTTAGAGTGGGGGAAATTTATTTGATTATTTTTTAGAAGTTTTTGTTATAGGGTGTGTGTGCTCAGTGGAGAGAGACAGAGACAGTGAGAGGGAAAATGAGAAATCATCCCTGGGGAGGATGGCTGCACACCGGCGTGATTTTCAAGTCCTCCCCTCCTCCCCCGTGTCTGGGACCTGAACTGGGGTCAACTATGTGGAAGTCCAGCAATGTAACCACTATGCCATCTGCTGGCCCTTGAACTTTATTTTTTAAAAAATCAGACCCACTAAGAAAATATATCACAACCTTGAAACAGCAAACAGACAGTCTATATTATCATTCAACTAATAATTTGACCAAAAAAACAAGGTCCTTATCAAAAAGACAAGGTGCCACACTGGTGCAGGAACACTGCATGTTGAAAAGGCCCCAGGCAAAACTGGTATTTGGTAGTGAGTGGCTGCCTCTCCTTTGCCCTAAGGGATTCCCTGCTCATCTTAACCAAGTTGTTTACTTTTTCTCCCTTGACCTTTCTGTGACCAGGGGATTGTCTCAGTAGGACTCTGTTAACTCAAGAGCTAAATAACCTATGCTAGATTTAGGTTTCCTTTCATTCTGTTCTATGAAAACGGGTGTTCAAAACTAGGACTTCACAACTCTCTTAAATAGCCAATTGTTCTGACTGTTCATCCTTGGATACTGGTATATACCACAATCAAAATCCGCTTTCCTATCAAGGGGAAGCTGTGACTGTAAGACTGTCCTGTTCTCTGTAAACAGCTTCAGGCCCCACCGGCCAGTAAGAGGGAAACTGCATTCCACACTCGGTGTGCTGTCCCTTTTCATGTGTTCTCTTGGGCTCCAGGTGGAAGATGCAATGTGTAAAAATATCAGGAAATACACATCCACATCTTGATGGCCAGAAAAGAATATCCACTACTAACTGTTTCAAAGTTGTTATCCGAACTCTTCTCTCTCCCAGCTCCACATTTACATCGACTTCGTGCCCTTGTATAACAAAACCAAGCAAAACAAACACCCAGAAACCTTTTCCCCTTCTAAATTAGTGTCTTCATGAATTTTGTTTTACAACTTATAAAAGTGGTGTGGTAATACTACTAGTCAAGAAGGTGGCAACACATAGAAACACCTCTCTGCAAACTCCACCAGATCATAAGCAGGTGAGAGGAACCAGCCAGTGTGTTGGTGCCTGTGTGGTACGAAGAATCTGGCTCCGTGGAGGGCTCTCAGTTGGTAAAAAGGAGGTTCCTACTGCTAGGACAAGCACTGGCCACGTGAAAATTAGGCTCTAAAAAAAAAACTAAAACACTCTTGCGTGCTGTCTCTGACTTGAATTTAGCACCAGTTTTCTACATTTCACTTTCTAGGATTAAAAGATAAAGGAAGGAACCTGTGCTCACTGGCAAGTAACATATGTCTTAAACTTATTGCCATCCTTAATTTGCTTAAAATACTAAAATTTCCACTGCTTTTCAGGTCTGGGACTGGGACTGCAGTTAACCAAATGGGAGTCTAGCACCTTTAGCACCATGCCACCTGAGGGACTGGCAGGTGACGTCATGGTTAAGGGTGCGAGACTCCCACGTGGCTGATCACAGTTCAAGTCCTGGGCCTAGTGGCTTTGTTTTTCTCTTTCCCCCTCCCATTTTGTGGCC